AATTAAGATGTGTTATGTACATGTCCCAACTTCCCATGATAAATGTAATCACTAGGTACTGCAAACGTGTACTAATAAAAAAATTTAACAAGAAACTTCCCAGGGATGGACTCAGCTAAATGGAGACAGGTTGGGGATGGCAGGATGGGGAGATGAGGGTGAGTGGACTTCAGTCCATGCTCAGTGCCTGCTCTGCAAGAGGTACTGTGCTTTGTGGATTGAAGGGAAGAAATCAGAACTGAGCATGAGGAAGCCCCAGGTCTCTGCTGCCTTCCTGGCTAGTAGCAGAGCCCTGGCCCCATTATGGGCACATCTACCTGAGCAAAGTAAACAGAGAGGGAGGGAAGAGTGGTAACAATAGAAATGTCGCAGGCACGCTTCGACTGAATGAGCATTAGCTTAGCATACAACTCAAATGGAGACTGGAATCTTCTTTTGAATTCAAGTCAGTTTCCTTGAGTCTCTTGTAAACAGGACCATCTTATGAAGGCAATGCTTTGATGTTTTGAGATATGTATTTTGTTTTACACAGCACAGTCCCAATATGCAAGCCAACCTCTTCATATGGTGCTGAACTTATGCTCTGTGAAATGAGGGTTGTTTTTTTTAAATAAATTTTTTATTTTTGGAATAAAGTTCCAAAGTTGTAAACAGAATTCCTCTATACCATTGCCCAACTTTCCTTACATAACTATTGTACAGTTATAAATACTAAGATATCAACACTGATAAAATGTTATTTACTAAACTATAGACAGTATTTGAATTTCACCAGTTCTCCCCGAGAAAGAAAAGTGCCCCCCCGCAGCTGGGAACTGGCTTGGCATTATTAGTAAGGCCTGATCCTTGCTGTTGTTCCAGCTGGGCTGGCCTTTACAGCTCAGCCTTGGTGTTCTCCTTGAACATAAACAATTTCTCAGAATTCCAACATTAAACAAGGCCACTCTGTGACCAAGATGGATCATGAGAAAACAAGGCCACTCTATACTCATCTGAATACAAACAAAATAAAAATTATTCAAACAAAATGGCCAAACAAGCTGGGTATGGTGGCGCACGCCTATAATTCCAACACTCCAGAAGCCTGAAGCAGGAGAATCAAGTTTCCGCCCAACCTGGGTAATTTAGCAATTTAGTGAGACCCTATCTCAAAACAAGAAACTAAAAAGCTCTGGGGATGTGTCTCAATGTGAGGGCCTGAGTTCAAAACCTAGTACCAGCGCCCCCCAAGATCATCCTGGGTAATAGGAGAGTAAGAGTGACTGCCACTGCTTTACTAATTGTAGCTTTAACCACTCTTCCTTCCTTGTGGGCTTTGGTTAAGGTTTATTGAGAGAGCTAATTACAGAATTGCCCCCTATTTACTGACAGCATCCATTCCAGAGCAGTCTCATCCTGTAAATGTCCTTTGGTGCCTTGCTCCATTCTCACTGTATCCTGCCAGTCTCTCCATACCAGTTCGTAGAGTGTTTCTTCATTCACTTGTACAGCGGCAGTCCACCGTGGATGGACTGTAGTTTATTCAACCTCTGTCCTATGTACAGACATTTAGATAGTTTCCAATATTTTTTCAATTACAAGGAATAACTTTGGGGGACCAGGGATTTAGCTCAGTGGTTCTTCAAGACCAACCTGGGCTACATAGTGAGTTCCAGGTCAGTCTCAACTACTTCATGAGACTCTGTCTCAAAAAACCAAAAAAAAAAAAAAAAAAAAAAAAAAAAATACAAGAAGGAATAACTTTGCTTATCCATTGTAAATGATAGGCTTATTCATTACTGAATTGCAGTGAATACTATTGCTGCAAATGAATCACTCTGAAGCACTGACTTGTGTACCAGGGATCGAACTCAGGACCTTGCACTTGCAAGGCAGGCACTGTGCCACCGAGCTGCTTGAAGCGTATTCTCTTCCAAGCCCAGTGGAGGGTCTGGTTGGGAAGTGTGTATAGTGGCTGTCCAACTGCCATTCATGACTGGCCTAGGATCCAGATGGAAGACACAAGAAAAATGACCCCAGCCAAACTGTCCAGCAGCCTGAGACATCCTGATGGCTCCTCTGGGCTGGAGTAGAGACTTGGGGAAGGGATTAAGGTCCTTTCCAAGACACTGATGTGCTCACCTTGGCTGTGCAATGAACCTTTTCTGCTGGAAAACCTGCTCTTTCCCTTACATTGCCTTCAAATGTAGAATGCCAGGCTCTCGAGAGATATCATGTTATCTGTACAGGATGACATCCCTACAAGGGTTAGTCTTTTTCATCCCATTTAGTAGACATGGCAAGCAAGGCTCAGAAAGGTTAGGTAACCCGCCAAAGGTCCCACAGTAACCAGCACAGTCATGACTGAATTAAGTCTGTCTGATTCCAGAGCTCTAGACCTTTCCAATAAGAATGGGATAACCACTATGGAAAGCAGTATAGAGATTCCTCAAAAACTAAAACTGGTGGTTCCGTTTAACCCAGCCATTCCTCTTCTAGGTATAGTCTCAAGAATTCAAGGCGTCATATTACAATGACACATGTACACTCATATTGATAGCAGCACAATTCAGAATAGCTAAATCTTGGAAGCAACCTAGATGTCCATCAACAGATGAAGGATAAAGAAAATGTGGTATTTATATACAGTGGAATACTACTTTGCCTTAAAGAAAGATAAACTTGAGACACTTCTAGGTAAATGGGTGTACCTCGAGACTATAATCTTAAGTGAAATAAATCCTACACAGACATTTAAATATTGCATTATTTTTATTGCATGAGAAACCCAAAGTATAAATAAGGAACAAATGGAGGATAGATATTAGGATGTAAGAAGAACTTATGCAAATGGGAAGGGGAACAAAAGGTGGGGGAGGGGAGGGGAGGAAGGGAAAAGGGATTTAAAGAAAAAGAGAATTGAAGGAAAAATGCAAATAGAGCTTTTTTTTTTAGTTTTCTTTCTTTTTGCTACCAGGGATTGATCTCAGGACCTTGTGCTTTCAAGGCAGGTGGTGGAACCGCTGAGCTAAATGCCCAGCCCAAGCTTTTTGTAAATGTGGTGGGGGAAAAGGGTTGAATGGAGGGGAGGGGAAGGGGAAGAAAAGAATTAAAATGTGCTATGCACATGTACACATTCCTCATGATGATGTAATCATTATGTACTGCAAACATGTACTGATAGAAAATTTTAAAATTAGAATACAAATCCAACGAAGTATTTGTTTTAACAGTAGAGCAAATGTTCAGGTTTGTGGAATCGCTTATAGGCAGAAATCAGATGGTACAGGGGAAGACACTGAGAAAGCAGGAAACCTAAAAATTGTCACTTCAGGGCCAGGATTTGGCTCAGTGATTCTGCCGCCTGCCTCACAAGCACAAGGGCCTGAGTTTGATCCCCAGTACCACAAAAAAACAAAAACAAAAACAAAACAAAAATAAATAAATAAAAATTGTCACTTCGAGCACATCACTGAAAGTAGTTTCCTCCTGTGAAAAGGCAGACTTGCCCATGGGGCCGTGGTTTGACCTTTCTGATAGTTGTGGCTACCAGAGTCTGTTCTCACAGGTCTCTGCCACTGTGGTTATTAAATATTTTGTATATCACCCCGGTCGCACACCTGCTCCCCTTGGGCATGGAGGTCAAATAAGACCCCAGAAAATGCCAAGAACAAGCCGGGCGTGGTGGTGCACACCTGTAATCCCAGCACTCAGGAGGCTGAGGCAGGAGGATCACTGAGAGTTTGAGACCAGCCTGGGCTACATAGTGAGTTCCAGGTCAGACTCAACTACATAGTGAGACCCTCTCTCAAAAAACCAAAAAAAAAAGAAAATGCCAAGAACATTCAATACCAAGTGCTGGCTGTGTGAGCCGCAGCCTACGCAGACGCATAAGGCTACTTAACTTTGTGCAAATCTTAATAATTTTGAGTAGGAGACTTACACTGTTATTTAGCTCGGAGCTCCACAGGTCATGTAGTCAGTCCCACAGGCTAAAAGGCAGTAGCTGATATAACTCAGAAAAATAGTCCACACCCTGGGAGTCTGAGGCAAGCGGATTACAACTTCAACTTCAGCCTGTGCATCTTAGTGGCAGTGAGATCCTGTCACAAACTAATAAATAAAGAGGGCTGGAGATGCATCTCAGTGCAAAGGCCCTGGATTCAATCCCCAGTGCTGTTAAAGAAAGAGAAAGAGGTAAGAAAAAAAGAAAGGAAGGAAGGAAGGGAGGAAGGGAAGGAGGAAGGGAGGAAGGAAGGAAGCAAGGAGAAAAAAAAAAAAGCTAACTCTAAGCCAGGCTTAGTGGCACATGACTATAATGTCAGCTATTTGAAAGTTGAGGCAGGACTGCAAATTGGAGGACAGACTGGGTAACTTAGCAAGACCCTATTTCAAAATTAAAAAAAATTTTTTTAGAGCTGAGGATGTAGCTTAGGGGTAGAGTGCCCATGCATTCAATCATCAGTACTGTACTGAAAGAAAGAAAAGAAAGAAAGTGAGGGAGGGAGAGAGAGAAGAAAAGAAAGAAAGAAAGAAAGAAAGAAAGAAAGAAAGAAAGAAAGAAAGAAAGAGAAAGAAAGAAAGAAAGAAGGAAGGAAAGAAAAAGAAAGAAAGAAAGAAAGAAGGAAGGAAAGAAAAAGAAAGAAAGAAAGAAAGAAGGAAGGAAGGAAAAAGAAAGAAAGAAAAAGAAAGAAAGAAAGTTTAATGCTTCTAATCAAATTCTGGAGGACTGAGAATACATGACAATAATTTTGTTCTGGATGAAGTCATTGGAGTGTTGACTCCCCTTTCTCCTGGCTGGTGACAGGCAGGTACTATTTCTGGGGAAGTGGCTCTGTCCTTCCTCCACATGGACAGTCCGGTATATGCACAGCACTAAGTGAAAAGGGCTGAAGAATACAGTTATTGTCCTTAGTAAGAACATTTAACTAGCATCTGCTTTGGGTCCTGCCCTGAATTACTATAGGAACATGAAGAATCCCTGTCACCACTGCATTTGAGAAGCTTCCAACTGGTTGGGAGGCTGGGACATAGATCTTTCTGGGCTACCCCTGGGATTTGCTTCAAATGGGATACAGACCTGTGGCCCAGGAATTCAGAGAAAAGATTCAGAAAGTGATCTCTGAGTGCTGGCCTGTTAAGCCAAATTTGGCATCAGGATAGGACCCAGACAGGGTCTTCAATGATGCATGGAGCCTTGTCAATGCAGGAAAGAAACTCAGGGGGATATGGATGCATATTGTACTCTCCCATGTGAGTGAAACACAGCAGACTGGAGTTGAGAAGTGTTGCAGGTTGGGATCTGTAGAAGCGGATACTAAGATGGACATTGGTGTGTGTGTCAGTTTCTTGTGAGTGCTATAACAAATTATAACAAAGCATGTGGCTCAAAACAGTAGCAGTTTATTTTCTCACACTTCTGGAGGCCAAAAGTCTGAAGTTAGTTTCATTGGGCTGAAATCAAAGTGTTGTGAAATTCAGCTGGAAAGATAAAGGATATAATGCATGCAGGGCCACACTCCTCTGGGGGGTCTGGAGGAGATTCTGTCCCCTGCCGCTCCCAGCTTCTGATGGCTGTCAGGGTTGCCTGGCTTGTGGGCACATCACCCCATCTTTATATCACTCCTCTTCTGTTTTCAAACTCCCTCTGCCTCTCTCTTGTAAGGACATGAGATGGCACTCAGGGTCTACCTGTTCTACTCAAGACAAACTCCTTCTCTTATAATCCTTGAGTTAGTTGCATCTTTTCATATGTCAGATAATCATCACAGATTCTGGGGAGTAGGATACGGATATATCTTTCAGCTCACTGTGGGGCATAAGATGCTTAAGAGGGACCAACACCTGTAAGAAGAATGCAGAGGAAGGAGGATGGGCAGGGGAAGGTTAGACTGTGGTACAGGTCCAGCGGAGTCCTGATTGGCTCAGTGGGAATTTCTGGAATGAGAACTGCCTGTCAGAGCTGTAGCTTGGTGGGGCCAAACGGCCCCTGGCCATACCTGATCACTAGATAGGATGATGTCCTAGGAAGGGTGTGACCCTGAGCCAACGCCACAGAAGGGCTGAGGCAGAGGCTCAAGGGGTTGACAGCTGAAGCAGCCTACTGACTGCAGCCCCATACTGGGGAGACAGTTGTCACTTAAAGAGGGATCTGATGGCTCTTCTCTGGCTCTACCACAGAGAGGGAGTAGCAGAGCGTCAGCAGAAGGAGGGGTTTGAGCAAAATGTCCCCTGAAGACAGTGCCCGAGTAGGGCCTGTGATCTTCAGCCATGCTGATAAGAGCAACAGATCTGCTCTGACATGAAAGTGTATGAGAAAAGGAACTCTGTGACCTCCATATCCCACGAAAAGCCACTAGCTGGTGAACCATTTCTAGACCATTGCTAAGCACATGTGGGCCCAGCCTGACATCTATCTGGCCTTCCTTAACTCTTGGCTTGCACTGTGGATGTGAACACAGCTGCACAAATAGAATTCAACTATAATTAATACTAAAACCAAGTCTCCCAGCAGCCACCTGGGGGATCCTTGGGTGTTTTTCTTCTTTGCTTTCTCCCAGGACTCTGGCAAGTGAGGCATAAGATTTCCTTGTCCTGATTCGGGAGGGGCCTGGAGCTGCACTTCCTGTGTAGATGGAGCAGCTTCACATTACATGATGGTTTTGAAAGAGCATTCCTCAGAGTCTCAGGCAACTGCTCTGGAGAAGAGGTCTGGAGGGCTATGCAGGTGGACAGACAGTGGGAGGTTTAGCGGAGGGTTAGCTCAAGTCCTAGGAAAGGACCATTTCTGGACTCCCTGGGGAGGGACCTCAATCAAAAGTCACTCACTGTGTGGAAGAATCCAGCAAAGGAAGAACACCTGGACCTACAGAGATGCTTTGGGGCCTGCCTCACGCATCGGAGGATCTCTGTGGCAACCGTCATTCTTCTGTGGAGCTCTGGGAGGTCTGTGGGCTATGGTTTCCTTCCGGTGGCCAGCTGCATTCAGGAGGGACTGTGACTGTGCAGGTGGGAAGGGTGGTCAGACCAAATCAGAAGGCAGCCATTTCAATTTCAATGATTTGCAGGTAACTGAAGCCTGCTCTTCCTCAAGCCTGACCTATCATTTTCACTGTCATTGGATGCCATAGGGCAGTGTCTGGAGCGATCAAAAGGCAAACCCAAAAGGCAACCCAGGACACCACAAAATAGGACTGGGTGAGGGGTGTTCATCTTTAGATGTGAGTGGAGAAACCAGAACTGGATAGCAGAGGGTGAGAGTTAGAGGCTGATGGAGAAGAAAAGAAGAGCATGGGCTGGTAGTGGGAGTTCTTGGGACTATCTCAGCAGATCACTCTTCCTCCGTGGGTCTCAGTTTCCCCATCTGCATAATGAGGTCTGTTAAGCCAGGTGTTCTGACCTGAAAGGTGCTGATTCAGAGGTAGAAAAGAGGAGGTAGACTGAAAGGTTCCTGAGAGTAGAGGGCTGGCAGGAAGCTGGGCAAAGACCTAAGAGTCCTCTCATTGCTGCTCCTGGAGCTGATAAGCGCGTACATGGAGGCCCACAGCCCACGTGGCCAGATACTTAATATAAAAGGTATAAAGCAAACTAAATGTTGAGTAGCATATGTTCTATTGGCTGACCTTGAAAAAATATTTTTCCAGTGATCTGTGAGGTCAAATTTGAATGAAAACTCTCACAGACGCTAAGGAATTGTGCACTGGAGCATATGGTGTGGACAGAACCGAACCCTGGTCCAAGTCTGTGGCCACAATGAGAATGTTCTGCCTCTCAGGGAGCAGAACTGACTCTGTCTGTGTCGTAGGGGCTGAGCTCTGAAATCTGTCTCTGTGAGGCCACATTTCCCACATCAGTTCCCGCTGATGACTCAGTGCAGCCAGGACACAAGAGGAGTCCTCTGGGGGCAGGCTTTGTCTCGAAGGCACCCTGGAAACCTCTCTTCCATGGCCTTCTCCTCTTCTCTGGGGTCAGGCACTAGCATTTCTTGGCAGTCCCCCGGGCCTTTGCTTGCCTGCTCTTTGTTTTTCTCACAGTCGTTTCCCCTAAGAACATTCATACCTGTGCACTCCTAGCTTGACATCCACTTCATAGATGACCTGGACTAATACCCTGGCTCTTGCTGACTCCTCTTCTCTTAGCTCTGGCTCTTTTCTACACCTTGAGGTGTCTCCTACCTGGACAGGGGGTAGAGAGCATATGTCCCGGGCTCCTCACATCTCTCTCTTCCTTCACTATCATGACAGTCTGGTGGCAAACAGGAGACACAGAGGCTCAAAGACGTCAAGTGAGTGTCAACACAGGGTATTCTGATGCCCACCCCTGGGCTCTGCCGTGAAGTTCCCAGCCATTAGGGGCAATCATGTTATGTCACATAATTTCCCCTCCTAGGTTAAGTGTCCTCAGTCCCTGAGAAATAAATGTATTTCTCCTAACATGTGCAATGGAGCTGCTGCTTATAAAACGGCAGCAACCTGGTGGTTGGGGGATGGGGAGGACGGATCAAAAGGGCATTATCCTCTCAGGTCAGCTTGGGCTCCAGACCCTCAGAACCTATCACTGTATTTGCAGTCTGGATAGCGGTAGGCAAATCTCGGGTCACAGGTTCTCAGGGACCTCAAGATGTCCTTCAGTTGGCTAGCAGCCCAGAGGACCTCTGAGTCTGGGTGGGAGCTCTTGCCACAATGAGCAACAGCTGAATCTATTTCTTCTTGCACTGGGGAGGGGAACTTCCCCTGGAGAAGTCGAGGCAGCAACTGCTGACATACCAAAACGAGGTTATGCTTCTCAGCGATGGTGTCACAGGAGGGCAGCTGGGCCTGGCAGCCAGAAACCAGGCAACTGAAAACATCTTGGTTCTCTCTGGTCTTGGTGGCCGTTTGGCTGCCTGGAAAAGAAATAGAAAATATCACACACCCTACAACCTGTTCTCCTTGGGAGAAGGCACCACTAATTAGACTTGCTAGGGGAAGCAGTTTGGTCTCCTCATATTTCCTTGTCGCCAGGAGATTAAGGGTCCAAGGACACAATGGTTCCTTCTGATAATAATGTGGAAAGAGCTCTCTCTCTCTCTGCTACAGTGGTAGAGGCCAGAACTTGAAAAATCCTCTTATTCCTACCAGAAGCCAGGCATACAATTATAGGAGTCATATTCATATTTTTATTCACCTATCATTACTAAATTAGGGAACTCAGGAAATTATTAGGACCAGTTTCATTTTCCCATTTAAAATATAAAATCAGGGGGGAAAAAACTCAGGTAATTGAAAAGTTGCATTTAGCAGGTTGGTATAGAACTGATATTCAATGATTTACATAGCCTGAATATTCTGGAATCAGCCTGATTTTTTTTTACTTGATTCTTCTTAATAAAGGCAAATAAGGAAATGAGTAAGTGTGGTTTAATTTTTCTATCTTTGTAGACTTCCTTACATAAACAAATTCAGAAATAGGAAAAGAAAATCCTTTGTCCTATAATTGAGCTTAGAAAATTTGATCACCATGGAAAATGGGGATGTTTAAAGGGTTCTAAATGCTGGATAAGCCTTCACACGTAGAAAGAAACATGATTCACTCACACAACTCATTTGGGCCCACGTTTTGTAATTTGAAAATTTTTTAAAAAGTAAATGTGCCAACATGGATTGCAAAATGTACCAGTGAATCACCCAGATATTTAAGTTTTGGATTGAGGATAAAGGCATCTGATAAGAAAGGCTCTGAAGGGGAGATGGGCCCAGGAGTTATGTGTGTGAGTAGGGCCAGCCAGGGCAGGTTCCCAGGGCCCACAGACCCAATTACACAACAGCACTGCCTTGGGAGGGTGTGGTTGGGGATGAGCCACTATGGACAATGCCCCCTGTGGAAAAGGACAAATTCACTTCCCCTCTGGATCTGGAGCTGGAGCTGGAGCTGGAGCTGGAGCTGGAGCTGGAGCAGAAATTCAGATGGGAGTGAGGGATATTTCAAAGGGCATTGAACACTTTCTGAATTTGGGTTGCTCTCACGGTGACATACAGAGCTTGGAAAGGCCCAACAGTGTGACCCCAGGTCACTCTTCCTTAGCTGCTGTCACCCTGACATCTCCCTTGACAGCTAGCCCAGGCCCATGCTGGGTACCTTCCTGCTTGTCGATGACGCCCAGTGCGCTGGCATCCCGGATGAGCAGATGCCCATTATTAAAGATGCCAAACATGCCTGCATCGACATGAGTGAAGTAGAAGAAATAGTTCAGATCATTGCTCCTCAGGGACTCCAGGACACCAAGGAGTTGGTAGGCAATGTCAGCTGCCTGGTCTGGAGGCGCACCGAAGAATTCCTGCAGAGGCCTGGTGCTGGTGCTGATGAGGAGTCTGCCACAGGAACCCAGGTACTTGGGCAATGGCCAGCCCTCTGCCCCGGGGAAGATCTGCCAAGCCGGAAGGAACAGGCATCAGACATATGTGAGAAAAATCTCATGGAGACAGCTCTCCCTCTCCCTCTCCTGGAATGCATACAGGAAAATCAGCATTCACAGGCATCAATGCTTTCAAAAAATATTGGCAAAGTGTTTATACCTCTTGGAACATGGCAATACCCCTGCCCCCCCTCCCCACACTTTTATTGCTGTGGATGGAAAGATTCAGGAAGGAGGTTGCTCTCATTTCTGTGCAGTGGATTGTATTTCAACATTTTCAAGAAGAGTATGGAAATGTTAACAGATCTGCTATGATATCCAGGCTTCAGGGAAATATGTTTAAGTGTTGTAATGTTGAAGAAAACAGCACTAGTCTTTGAGATTTCACAGATATCACTACTTAGGAAAAAGCTAAGGGAAAAACTTACTGATGAAAGAAAAAAATACTTTTAAGTAATAATAGTGCAACATTGAAAAAAGAGATCGAAGAAGGTATAAGAAAAAAGAAAGACATCACTTGTTCCTGGGTAGGATATATATACAGTGAAAATGACCATACTTCCAAAATTGCTATACTGTGCTCACTTTGGCAGCACATATACCAAAATTGCTATACAGATTCAATGCAATCCTTATTGAAATCCCAACAGTATATTTCACAGAACTAGAGAAAATAATCCAAAAATTCATTTGGAACCAGAAGCGACCTAGAATAGCAAAAGCATTCAAGGCAACAAAGGCAAGGCAAGGGGTATCACAATCCCCAACTTGAAACTATACTACAAAGCCACTGTGATAAAGACAGAATGGTACTGGCAAAGAAATAGACCCAAGGATCTGTGGAACTGATTAGAAGATGCAGAAACAACTCCAGACACACTCAGCCACCTCATCTTTGACAAAGGAGCCAACCATCCTCAGTGGAGGAAAGATAGCCTCTTTAATAAATGGTGCTGGAAAAACTGAATTTTAACCTGCCAAAGATTAAAACTAGACCCCTATCTTTCACCATGCACTAAACTAAAATCCAAGTGGATTAAAGTCTGTAAAGGGGAAGGGGAGGAGGGGGTGAAGGGAAGGCAGGACAAGGGGAAAAAATGAGAACCAAGATCTGTCATGTAAAGGTACAAGATCCCAATAATGAATGTAACTGTACTGTATACCTAAAATGTACCAAATAAACTCAATGAGGAAAAAAATAAAGATCTAAATATTAAAAAAGAGACACTAAATTTGCTGGAAGATAAGTTAGGCAGAACTCTTGAAGACATTGGCATAGGAAAAGACTTTATGAACAAATCCTCAGTAGCAAGGGACCTAGCACAAAGAATCAACACCTGGGATCTCATTTATTAAAAATCTTGTGCACTGCAAGAGAAACCACCAACAGAGCTGAGAGACAATGTACAATGTGGGAAAAATTTTTACCAGCTGTTCCTCAGACAAAAGTCTGCTATCTATAATATATAAAGAAGTTGAAAAGTCAAACCTCCCAAATATAAAGACCCAATTCAAAAATGGGCTTCTGAAATGAACAGACATTTCTCAGACAAAGAAGTAAAAGCAGCAAATAAATACATGAAAAAATGTTCAACATCACTGGTCATTTGAGAGATGCAGATGAAAACTACACTGAGATTCCACCTCACCCTGGAAAGAATGGCTGCTATCAAGAAATCACACAATCACAAATGTTGGTGGGGTTGTGGGGAGAAAAGACCCCTTCTCCATTGTTGGTGGGAGTGCAGACTGGTGTAGCCACTATGGAAATTAATATGGAGATACCTCACAAAATCTAGGATTAGAGGTTCTGTTTGACCCAGCCATCCCTCTGCTGGGTATCTTTTCAAAAGAATTAAAAGAATCGTACCACAGTGATATAGTAGCACCAATGTTTATAGCAGCACAGTTTGTAATAGCTAAAACTTGGAAACAGCCCAATTGCCCATCAGTTGGAGACTGGATAAAGATGTGGGTTTTCTATAAAATGGAATACTACTCAGCCATAAAGAATGAGAAACTAGAGACATTTGTAGCTAAGTGGGTAAGTATTGAGGCCATACTCTTAAGTGAAATAAATAAGACACACATGTGTAAATACTGAATAGTTTCTCTGGTGTGAAAAACTAAAAGTGTAAATAAGGTTCAATTTGTATAACTGATAATGTGAAGTAGGAAGAAAAGGGCTAAAGGAGTAGGGGAAGTGGGAAAAGGTAGGGGAAAGGAAAGAAGGATAAATAAAAAGTATGAGAAAGGGAAAAAAATCAAAACAAAGTCTTTGTAAATAGGGAAGGGTGGAGGGGGTAAAGAGAGGGCAGGAATATGAGGAAAAAATAAGAACCAAGATACATCATGTAAAGGTACAAGATCCCAGTGATGAATGTAACTGTACTGTATATCTAAGAAGCACCAAAAAACTTAATAAAAAAATAGTGCAAGCTGTGGTGCAGTGGCATGTGTCCGTGGTCCCAGGTGGTCAGGAGGCTGAGACAGAAGGATCCCTTGAGCCCAAGAATTTGAGCCAGTCTGGGCAGCATAGCAAGATCTCCCTTCCCCAGTCTTTAAAAAAAATTAAAATAACAGTGCAGTTTCTTGGTTCTTGGATAGGACAAAAGTCATGAAGGTGGCCCTTGGGTAATTCGAGGCTCTAAATCTCTAAATCTTTCTCCTTCCAGACTTGGGCAAACCTGTCTGGCTGGGGAAACTACATTTTCACAGATTGGAACATCGCAGAAGGCCTAATGCTGCTGGCCCAGGGAAGCACAGCCGGCCTGGCTTGACTCCTTGTCAGAGCCCCAAACTTGTCAGTCTATGACATGAAAAAGGGGGTAAGCAATCCTGGCTGGTCTTTCTTGACCACCGATTAAAGTAGCTGTATCTAGTAACGTATTTCTTTCAACTATGGGGAAAATAACAAAAACAGTAAAAACCTGGTGCTTTTTCCCTTGTTCTCCTTCTTATAGAAATAAAGTTGGGCTGAGAGTATAGTTCAGTGGTAGAGTGCTTGCGTAGCATGAAAGAGGCACTGGGTTCCATCCCCAGCACTGTGAAAACAAAACAGGACAAAGTCATCTTTCTTTGATAATTTTCTGTCGCCTTCTGCCCATTTTAATTCTCATTATGAAGAAGCCATGCCCACTTGCTTTTTGAGTTTCCTCTGACCAGAGGAGAACCTTTCCTGCTATGTGCCTTGAAGGGAGATCCCACACCTGTTGTCACTGTCTAAATGTGCAGCTTCAGCTGAGTGTGGTTGTGCATGCCTGTGATCCTCACAGTCTTAGAGGCTGAGGCAGGAACACTACACGTTCGAGCAGTCTGGGCACCTTAGCAACTTGGTGAAACCCTGTCTCAAAATCAATCAGTCAATCAATCAGGCTGGGGATGAAGCTCAGGGTAAAGGTCCAGGTTCAATCCTCAGTACTACAAAAGTAAACAAATGAATAAACAAATATGCAAGGGCTCCACACTATGCCCTTGGTGAGTGGAGCCCAGGGTTGAGTGGTAGCATCCCAGGCCCCTGGTCCTAGCCTAGGACTCTCAAGAGCTCTAGGAATGGTCTACTGTCACCAAACAAAGTTGCAACAACTGGAAAAAGACTTCTGTGAGTGCACGACAAAGAGTAATTCCATCCCTGCTGCCAATATTGTGAATGTTGATGTTACCAGGCAGGACTTAGCATGTATAGCACAGCCTCGGACATCGGACAGTTCTGGCTTTGGAGTTGATCCATGACACTAAGTGACTTTAGCAAAGTCATTTCAGATCTCTGAGTCCCATTTAACCTCTAGAAAAGGGGACAATAATATTTCCAGAGGGCCACTGTGAGTGTTAACTGACATAATGGTATCAAGCACCCAATACAATACCAGGCACATAGCCAGTTCTCAATAAATGAAAGCTGTCATTGGTTATGTATTCAGCTGGCATCCCTTGGGCCAATATATATGAACTGTCTTCGGTGGCTCCTTTCTCCTCTACCTGCACCTTTCCCCTTCTCCTTCTGTCTCTTCTCCTTCCTCTCCCTCTCTTTCTCTTCTTTTTCTGTTGCTTATGTCCCCTTCCTACTTCATGGTTTCCTTTGTGGCCATTATGTGATCTCTGTGGCCTAAGCCTTGGGGTCAGGGGGATTGGACTCTCATTTTACATGGATGTTTGTTTACATGTTAAGCATCTGTCTCTGCCATCAGGTGGAAGTTGTATGAAGGCAGGACCACTATGCCTATATTCCAGGGCCCTAACACATACTCATTAGTTGGATCATTTCCCTATTGACAGACATTTAATTTACTTCCATTTTTTTTCTTTCCAAGCACAGCTATAGGCACAGCTCTGAGTGAGTTGTTCTTTGGCTATTTTCCCATCTCCTGAGCTTGCTCAAATCTGATCGTTGAGGCACTGATCAAAGTTGCCTTCCTTCACAAAGCCCTTCTGCTACCACAAGAAGTGAAGGTGAGCATTTCTATATTGGTGGGAGTGTAAACTGATACAACCATCATGGAAATCAGTATGGCAATTCTATAAAAGATGAAAAACTAGAGGTTCCATTTGACCCAGCTGTTCCCTTTCTAGGTATCATCCCTAAAGAGTTAAAGACATCATATTACAGTGATCCATGCATACCTATGTTTATAGCAGCACAATTCACAATGGCTAAATCTTGGAAGCAGCCTATATGTCCATTAACAGATGAATGGATAAAGAAAAGATGGTATTTATACACAGTGGAGTACTACTTGGCCTTAAAGAAAGATAAATTTGAGTCACTTGTAGGGCAATGGATGCATTTTGAGACTATGATGCTAAGCAAAATAAATTAGACATAGCATGTTAAATATTGCACGGTTTCTCTTATATGAAAAACTCAAAGTATAATTTATAATTTAAAGAGCAAAATAAAAGATAGATGATAGGAAACATGGAGCCAGACTTCGTAGAGATGAGAAAGGGATCTAGGAATGGGGAAGACGGGATGGAGTGTGCGGGGTGGGGAGGACAGAGCTTTAAGATGGAGAGGTACCAATTCTCCAAGATTTATTATGCTTGGCAAACAGATACTAATAAGACTATTTTTTGAAAAAGCAGTAAAGTGGCTGTGGTCTTTTCCTACCCACATCTCCACCTTTTTGTTCCCATACCTCTTTCCTCAGCAGCAGCCATGGCACTTTCACATTGCAGAAACTAACGAATACTCACTGAATGCCGTAAGGTACCCACACAGGCCGGTGTCCTCAAGGTGTGCCGTGAAGAGGGGAACAGAAATGGACCCAGGGCCCGCCCCTGGAAACGGAGGATGAACCCTCAACCTGGAGGGCTTGCAGGGTCTCCGTACCTGTAGGACGATGGGGTGCGTGTTGATAGCCAGGGTGTAGAGCAGACGCAACTTGTCGCGGTCGGTGAAGTGGTCCATGAAGATGCTGCCAGCGTCGGCCACCTCAGCATAGCGCCGGACCACTCGGTCCAGAAGTCTCTGTGTTGGGCAGCGCAGGAGGGGGCTGGGCAGGCCCTGCGAGGGCGAGGGAGAGAACCCGGAGAGGAAATGGGTGCTGAGCGATAGAAGGCTCTTCGGGTGGGGGAGACCTCGAGACTGGGGGAGCCCTTGGGTGATGGGGAGATTTGCTGGGAGGTGGGGAGTGTGCTGAGCAGGAGAGGAGGAGCAAGAGACCCCTGAAGCAGGGGCAGGAGACTGAGCAGAGCGGTTTTTTGGGGGCGGGGATGGGGCGGGAAAGAAAGAGCAGGCTATGCCTGGAGTGTATGTGGGGTGAGGGTTGGAGCGGGTGAGGTGTTTGGGTAGAACAGAGGCCAGAAGGAGAAAATGGCACGTCTAAGGCACCACAGTGTGACAAGAGATTAACTGTGATGGGAAGTAGCCCACTGCCCACCTTCCTAGGGTTGGTAAATTCTGGAGGGTGGTAGGAAGTATGCACAGGGTAGGCACAGAAACTCTATGGGAATTACTGTTTGAGAACTTGCTTGGCGGGACACACTTGGGAGAAGGAGGTGGCTAACACTCTCTGGAAGTTCCCAGGCATTATCTCACAGAGACCTGGAGCCCTTACTTTGCTCTTGCCCTGGGGACTTTTCTGGAAAACAGCTTCAAAAAATTGTGGAAGATACTGTGGCAGTTGATTTTCAGGGCCCATGCTGCCAAATGCAAATGGTAGATGGTTATATCAAGTGATCTAGTAAAACACTTCAATTTTCCAGATGAGACTAAGGATGCAGAACAGGAAGTGGCTCGATAAACATCGTGGTGTTTACTGGGGCCCATGCTTGCCTACATTCCCAAACCATTGGAGGTAGAGAAAGATTTAATTGGCAGAGTTAGGGGGGAAATCAGTGATTTTAGAATGAGCAGTGTGTCCCAAATTTGAATGGTGATGAAAGTTTTCAGAGTGCTATAAACATACAGATCCTTAGGCCCCTTTCTAAAAATTCTGGATAGGCAATCTAGTAGGGACCTAGGACTATGCATTTTTGGCATTCTTATTATCAGACAAATATGAGAAACATAGGCAAGGAGCATGGGAGATTAGGAACTGGATGTGATTCAGCCTTCCTATCTTAGGAGCAAACTGCTTCCTTCATTTTGGACACGAACACAATAGGTTGTACATTTTCAATGGTAGAGTAAGGACACTTGTAGAAAAAAGACTTCATTCCTCACACAGCTGTCATCTTTCCCTGAAAGGTTTTGGCTGATGAAACCCAATCAATTATCCTTTAGAAAGGGGTATGCACCTTATGATAAGGTTGACCTAGAAATACAGACAACCTGGGGGAGCGGGGAATGGTGTACACCTATAGTCTAGCTACTTAGAAGGCCTAGATGAGAGGATTGCTTGAGTGCATAAATTTGAGTCCAGCCTAGACAACATAGGCACCTCAAAAATCAACCAACCAACCAATAAATCAAACAAACAAACAAAATAAAGAACAAAGAATTAATCTCAGAAGGGAGAGACGGAGTTGCCGATCCCTAAAATCACATCACGGAGCTAGCTCTGCCTTCTCAGAAGGCTTAAACTCTATCCCAGACTGCAAGAATGGTTTCAAGAAGAATCAAGAGTGCAGATGGCCTTTGTCTGGCCACTGATCATCCAAGGGCCACATACTGAATCCACTTGGCCATTATTCCCTGCTATACTTCAGGGTGACAAGAACAAAGGACGGCTGGAATCCTTGCTGCCTCCCTGTAGACTTATTTTGGGTCAGGGATGGGAGAAGATACTGCAATTACCCTTTTGGTTATTTTAGCCAGGAAAAGAGGCAAGAAGTCATTCTACTGAATTTTAGCATGGTGGAAGAACGGAAGAAAGAAGTTGTTGGAATTTTCTACTACTGCCTGTCATGCTATCTCTTCAGAATTGAACAGACTGTGTTCATAAGCCTTGCAGAACATGCGTACAAAAGGCGTGGCAAGGCGAGAGGCACATGCCCTGCCCTCAGTATATGGCATGCATCACTGTCTATCATGATGAGCAGCATTACTGCTGTTACTGATGAGCCTTCTGTAATGATCCCTCTGTAACCTTCTAGCTGAAGCTTCTCTCCCATGGCCACATGCTTGGGGATGGATGAGGGTTCTGGGTATGCAAGGCTCTACCCAATGGGCTGGTAGTGAAGAGTTAAGGCAAGTATTCTGACTCCCTTTCGAGATTTAGATTTGGGTTCTAATTTGGGATTCCCAAATTGGAATCAAATCCCAAATTAGATTTTGGGATCTAGCTGAGAAAGAGGATAAGGAGGAAACATTGAAAGAAGTAGAGGTACTATGAGCCATGGTAGTTGGGGGCCCAGGAAAGAGAGGCAGAAGCAGGGCTGGGGACTTAGCTCAGTGGTGCCATTCCTGCCTCGCAAGTACAGAGTCCTGAGTTCAATCCCAGGTATTAAAAAAAAAAAAAAAAAAGAAAAAGAAAAAAAAAAAAGGAAGGAGAGAGGCAGAAGCAACAGATGCATCTCATCTCTGTTGAATACTAGACTTCAGGTCCTGGAAGCCTTCACGCCAAGTTTTGGAATAGGGGTGGTGCTATGGTTTGAATGTGTTCCTCAAAAGTTCATGTGTGGGACAAGTATAGTGGCATATATTTGTAATCCCAACTACTTTGGAGTCTGAGACAAGAGGATCACAAGTTCAAGGCCAGCCTGGGCAATTTAGCAAGGTCCTGTCCCAAAACAAAAAGGGATAGGCATGTAGTTCAGTAGTAGAGTGCCCTTGGGATCAATCCCCAGTACCATGAAAACAAAACAGAAAGAAAGAAAGAAAGAAAAGAAAGAAGGAAAGAAAAATTTCATGGTTGAAAATATAATACCTACATTCATATTAATCATATTTGGGGGTGGAGCCAGATGAGATCATGAGGTTGGGGCCCCTAGGATGGCATTAGTGTCTTCACAACAAGAGGGAGACCAAGTTAGCAGCTTGCCTGACTTGTCATATGATGCCTCCCACTGTATCATGATGCAGCAGAAACACTCTCACCAGTTGCCACTGCCAGGCTTTTTTAACTTCCCAGCCTCTAGAACTGTGAGCTAAATAAACCTGTATTTTTTTTTTTTTTTTTGGTACCAGGGATTGTACTTGGGTCCCTGTGCTTTAAACCTCTCTTCTTTATATGTTGGTCTTCAATATTCAGGGATAGCAACAGAACACAGGCTAAGACAGATGACATAACCACAAATTCCTTTCCCAGAAAGTGGGCTCACTGAGTTTTTGCTCTTTGTCCCCCAAGGAGTAAAGCAGCCCACCAAACCAGACAAATGTAGCTTTATTGAAGCATGAGGGAAGGGTAGTAGGGTAGAATTAGAAGTCTTGAACCGACTGAAACCCAATTTAAGACTCTGCAATGTATGTGCCCCTCCCCTGCCCTTTTTGTAAAGCATTCAACACCCCAGGGTCCTGTATATGCATATTTTATTCAAGCTCATTCCTCCTATTAATCATCTGACTGGGCTCTGAATGACTTTTGGTTGTTTCCAAAAGAAAATATTACTCAAAACACAAAAATTTATCACTACTGAACATATTTGAATATTTGCTCTGATGGACATAAAGAACATGAACTGCTCTTAGAAAGAAAACCTAAAGCCAGAAGAGAGGCTTTTCCCTCTATTACGGTTAGTATCTAAGTGTCCCCCTAAAGCCTCACACTCTCCTAAGTAGGGCTTTTCAGGGGTGTGTGATGCTGGAATTGATTCAGGGTGCAATGCTAGGATTAAGGGTGCCCCACCCTGGGCGTGGTGCTACCTCGCCTGGTTAAAATGTAAGAGACAGAAAGAAGGCTGCTGTTGTCACTTGGTGCTTGGCTGGCTGCTTCAATATTTTGCTGCTTTGCTGCCTTCTGCCTGCCCTGCGTTGTCACAAACTATCTCGCTCTCCTTTGAGATGTCCCTCTTGCATGCCATCTTGCTTTGGAGCCAGCTGATTATGGACTGAAACCTCTACACACTGTGAGCTTTGTGTGTCAGGTATTTTATCTCAGCAATGAGAAAAGTTACTAAGACACTATCTAAGACTGAAAGTCAGCTTCTAATCAGTAGGAAGGTCATCCTCACCAGCTAGATTTGGAAAGCTGAGGGAAATTTTGAACAAATAAAGTTTTACTTTGAGTGAATTTAACTCTTCTGAAGCTCTCCTAGCTCCCAGGGAAAAGAAGAGAAAGTTCTAGTGCTAATAAAATTACTTCCAGATCACATACCCAAACACCTTTTTACATGATTTAGTTGTTAAATGTGCTTGTGAAACAGGGCTGAGGTTCACATATCACATATATCACAATCAATGTGCCATAATTAAAACAATGACAATTCAATAACTGTCTCAGTTGTTATGGATAATTAAGCCAAGGGTTACTGAACATTTCTTCAAGCCTTGTATTCAGAAGCATGGAAACTCCCATTCAGTTTGTTATTCAGAGAAACATCTCACCGTTCTTTCCTACTACAATAGAATATTTGTTTTCCTTTTGGTAAAGTTCTTTCTGATTATTTCTCCCTCTGAAACTCAGACACAATGCGAGAAATTTTGCTATGCTGGGTTCCATTATACAAGTGTCTGCCATCACTGTGATTATTTTGGAGAAAGCACTTGGATGACTTTAGTAGTCCTTGTAGCTTGCAGTCATGTTGCTTTACAGGCACCATTCCTCTCTTAGCTCACTGGCAGGTACTAGAGGAGGGAGGGGAAGCTATAGACACTTCCTAAATCACTTCAAATTTGCTTTGAATCTGTGATTATGGCAGGTTTAGGATAGAGCCCTCCTCCCTTTAGGAAGTTTCTCTCTGCTACCATTTGTCTGGGTTGATCAACTCAGGTTTCCTGAAACTCAGTCAATGAGAAAGTCACTGATAGAAACTCAGGTGCAAAGGGTAGAAGTAGAGAGAGAAAATGAGCCAAGGGAGAGCAGAGCACTTGGAGTTTTCTTTGGATCACATCACAGTGAATTAGCATACCCACATTAGACTGAAAACTGAACAGACTCTTTGGGGTTGGGCAAGAGATATGGA